GAGGTGAGCGCAGTATTTTTTTTCCTCGAGAGACATCATGGCTTGCAAACGAGCGAAGCATGGCAGTTGCCCCGCCTCTCTCCTCCTCATTAGCATTTAAAGCTACAGACACAGAAATGGCACGTCCTAAGGAAAGCTCATTGTGGGACTGGCTCGTAGTGGCTGAAATTCTGCACCAAGGCTGAATTTCGGGAAAGAGACTTCAGATACAGTACTAAGGACCACTTAGGCCTATATAAAAGCATCCAAAAAGCAGCATGTCATGGGACCTTTAAGAAAATCTGGGTTCAATACATTTTTTTCCTTTTCTTTCTTTTTGAAAGAAATTAATACATTTATTCAGCAAGGATATATTAAATGTAATTATAATAAATATATAAGTATAGTAAAGACTTGTTAGAAAAGATTTTAGTCATCAAAGAATCCAGGAAAAAGTATGACAGATTCTAAAGAAATATTAAGCAGCAAAACGGTTTCCATTATTGATAAATCATATTAGACTGATTTCTGAAGGATCATGTGAATCACTGAAGACTGGAGTAATGATGCTGAAAATTCAGCTTTGATCACAGGAAAAAATTGCATTTTAAAATATATTCACATAAAACCATTATTTTAAATTGAAATAATATTTCACAATATTATGTTTTTTTTTCTGTATTTTTGATCAAATGCAGCCTTGATGAGCATATGAGACTTCTTTAAAAACATTAAAAATCTTACTGATCTCAAACTTTTGAATGGCAGTGTATATAAAATGTAAGCACTAATGAAAATTTAAAATATGAACAATTAGGGCGAATCAATTCATTATGAATAATTTATTGCTATTGTGTGAATAATATGTAATCATTTAATCAATAAAAAAAGTGTAGTCTGATTTTTTTTTAAATGTAATTTAATTTAGATTACGAGCACTTCATTTGTGTAATCTTATGTAATCCAGATTACATGTAATCAGTTACTAGCCAGCACTGCAAACCAGAATGCCAACAGCTTTATTAATGTATTTCATAAGAAACCTCAAAAGACAAAGACACAAACAGGCTTTTTTTTTTCATTGTCATCATTTTATAGTTGTCATTTCATAGATACTGCTGTACATGTCTAAATTCAGATTCAAGCACAATGCAGTCAGCAAATGCCTTTTGATGAAAACAAAAGAACCAAAGGCTGGAGTGATCAGGACCATGAATACTCATGTGTATATATATGTACAAAGGTCAAACTATATACAGATACATCTGACTCGACATACAGTATTTCTCCACAAAGCGTGGAAATGTAGCTTGCCATTGTATACATTTCACAGAATTATCCAAAATGCATATTCAGTGCAAATAATTGCTCTTTGTAATCTTTGTCATCATCATCATCATCATCATCGTTGTCATCTTCAGGTCAGTACCACCGAAGGGCAACAAAGAATGGTAAAAAAATAAAATCATATTTTTGTCTTTATCGTTGCAAAATATTAATGAAAAATAATCTCCTCGGGAACTAAAGTATGGTACTTGAAAATAATACTTCGACACAACCGTCATCTCTGACCTGTCAAATATGGACTGATAATTACAGATTTATAAGCAATTACACTTTCCCCTGTTTTTCCAACCATTCCACTCTGAACTTAAAAGGTCGCTAATAAAAATCCTGCCACTTTTACAAACTACTCGGAGGCATGGGAAATAATCAACGATATTCACGGCGTCTTCACGAGATATTTCAGATGAGCAGACTCTATCAGTGCCTGTAAAAGCAGTCAACATGAGAGCAGAAACAGCCTGACGTGGTACAACACTAATAACATGAAAATAATACGAGACACAAACTCAAACATGAGTCCAGTCAAACGCACTGATGAACGCTGGGATTCTGGCAGCTCTGCTATCGAAAACACCAAACTAAACGAATAAATGCCGTTATTCACAAATCTACTGCTCACAGTAGCTCTCGCACACGTTAATGATGTCGTTTCATTTCGCTGATATTTCAGTTTACTAATATTTTGGTGACAACACAATGAAATATAAAGGAATGTTTCAGATTCAGTAGGACTGAAGCTCTATGGACATCACGAACACTTGTTGACAGTAATGAACCAGCAATGCTCTAAGCTTATGAGGCAAGAAAGTATTCAAATATAGTTTGTCAAGTGTAGGGCTGTGCAAAAAATCTAATGCGATTTTCATGCGCATCTCGGGCAATGACTCGCCTGTGATTATGAACGCGGTTTTGCGTAGCTTGTCAGTGAACTACGGCTCTGTGTAGTAAATGCCGCTCCATCTGAAAGCACGTGCTGGAGATTTACTACTAATCACAGGAGCGCCTTTACTGACGAGATGCGCATGAAAATCGCATTTGATTTTTTGCACAGCCCTACTCAAGTGCAATCTTAATACTTCAGCATTATACTAGCATGATAATAGTGTGATAAAATGTTCATAAACACATCTGTCACATGTTGTTTCTTTTTCTTTTAAATCAATTTATTTATATTTATTGTTCTTAATTGATTTTTTTTATCATCAACTAATTTGTTTTATTTGCTTGTCTTTATTTATTTGTAAGCATTTAGCTACCACTTTATTATCATTGTTATTATTTTTTTAAATGATTTTATTTTATTGTCTTAGTGGGTAAATTTCACAAAGAAATATGCAGGAAATATTTTTTGACCCTAAAATCAATTATAAGTGAAGCCTATTTTAGGACGATTATTTGTTTATTATTATCTTCATGAAATAATGATTATTTGACATTATCTTCATGAAAATGAAGTAAATTTTTGTCTGTAATGCAAAAAGGCTGCAAACATTGTAAATTTCACATAAAATTCAAAACACAAATTCTTTTTACACAGCTGCACATTTCTGCTTTTAAAAGTACATATCTATTTTAAGTACATTACTGTTAACAAAATACTTGGTTTGTTTGAAATTATTCTGACATGAATCGACATGAACCTAAAACATTCCTTTAAAAGGGGAAAAAGTAAAAGATGTTAACTCTATAAATGTAAATCAATCATCTCCAATTAAGCAACTGCCAAACAAATAAAGTGCAAATCTTTCAGAGACTAATAGGAATAACTGCACCGTTATTATACACAGTAAATGTACGTGGCTCCAAACGCTCTTCAGAGACACACAAACACACAGATGAGATGAACGGACACCAAACTTCAACATTCAACTGGTTTTAAAGTCATGATTTGAGTTGTTACACTAAGACCAATTTATCTCCCATAAGTACACAACTCCCAAGTTTTGTTTGTTTTTTTTAAACTTTGACTCTGATCTTTAGAGTATTTTTAATCACTACCATGAAGAACAGCAAGCTCATCTTTTTTAGAATAGTACAAAAATGATCACATCTTGCCAACATTATGGGATATGAATTGTGCAGCAGATGTGCTAGTAGAGCTGTGAGCGCATGGATCCCGCTGCATGCTTTCCAAATGAACCATGCAATTCCCTTGTGCTAAATCAGGGACGCTTTGATTAAACGCTGCACTTCACTAATTGATCAACGTTTCATTTAAAAAAAATACCTAAAGACTGCTTATCATTCATACTAGGTGCACTATGTATACTTGCACTAAGTATGTATATATGTACTTATACTTCTAGAGCGCAGAGTGAATATACAAAGTGAAGAAAGATGTGCAGATACATGCTGCTAAATGAGCCATCGTCTCTCCGTGGGAAAGAGGACACGGGAGTCACGTTACTGACGGGATGTGGGATAAATCTTTGGCTTCAGCCACACGTGTCATCACCGGTACATATACAAGATATGCCCAGTGTCCAGAAATGAGATGAAGAAACAGCAACGGCTACTTCCTAACGATGTATTTCACACACACACACACACGCACGCGCACACGCACACACACATTTTAGCGCAGTCCCTGAGCTGCTGACACAAACAGGTCTTTGCTCCTATTGGGCAGGTGAGATAATGCCGTTGAAACAGTCCGCTTTCCTATTGGCTAGGAGCATCTGTAACAGGTGAGCGCTGGAGTTCCACCGGCCCCAGCTACACTGCAGACAATATAATCAAATTGCTGTTGTTTTTTGCTACTAATAGACATAAAATCACAGGGTGATCAAGCAGAACTGTGTTTTACATCTGTTTAGGGTTGAACCTGCAATTTTTGTGTTAGCAGCCCATTATTTAAAACCATTAGGCCACCACCACCCCATGTTTCTAATTGTTTTTAATCATCAATAAATTTGCCTTATGTGGTGAATGATTTTAGGGTGAAATATTAGCTGCAATTTTTTCATGACAATTACATTAATTATGATATTTTGTATAATATAATTTCAAGTTCTTTTTTATTATTACCATGACACATTTTTGTACAAAATGATATAACTTATTATTTTAGGACCATTACAATTTTTGTGCAATGTGATAGTTTTATACAAGTATATTTTTAGGATCATCAAATTTAAAAAAAATTTTTTTTGGCAATATTGTGTGACAATTATTTCCAGGAATGAATGACTTCCTTTGTTATTTCATCTAATAAAAAAATTAAATAAAATCATATACTGCAATGCATCATGCCTGGACACTTTTAAAAAATTGAAATCAGTACAACAAATATTAGCATGATGTACACTTGATATTAGATTTAACAATTTTATATATATATTCACATTACATTAAAGACAATTTATAAGAAAAATTTTCTTAATTATCATGAAATTGCTCACAAAAAATTAAATAATTTGTAATTGTCCTAAAATCATAAGTAATATAATTTGGTATCTTATATTATATTGTTTATAGATATTGATTTTGAGGTGAAATATGACCAGAAAATATTCTTTGACGTTTCTTAACAGTCACTCTTCTCATTTAAAAACTGCAGTAATCGTATTAAATACTTTTGAAGCATGCTTATCCCATTAGTACTTCAGATAATTCAATCTATTCTTAAACTCTAATAAATCAGCGTGAGTAACTGTAATATCAGTCCACTAAACGTGTGCGCTGGGAGTAGGTTACTGTGGATGGAAGAGCTCCGAGGCTCATCTCCAGTAATCACACAGACAGCTGCCCTCCGAAACCACAACATCTGATGGAGTGATCGGACACCAGAACGTCTCTGTTAGCAAAGCAGTGACACATGAGAAGCCAGGGCCGTGTTTTGAGGCTAAAGAGTGAAGAGCGGACAGTGAAACGACGCCATGCCCTGTGCAGAATAAGGAAAAGCGATTGATTTTTGCCCCGTTCCACACAAGAGAGGAGCTGCTTTTAAGTGAGTTTTCACAAAGCCGCTCTCGCTGATGTTCTCTTAAAGTGCTTATTGGTTTGCCTGCGAAGGGGGGGGGCGTGTGCATACGTAACGCAGACGACACAGTGAAGAGTTCTGGGCCGGGACACCTCGATGATGTGAACAATGTGTGCAAACCTAAAAGGATCGCATGAGTGGCTATGGATCACCTATTTCAGCTTGAGCTCCATTTTTGTTATTATGCAATCATATACAAAAAAAAGCAAAGGAAAAAACTGAATATTTCCAGCAACCAAGCAAGCATGTTATTTTTTAATATGTTTTTAAGCATAATATTTTTAATTTTGTTCTTAATTACCCTAATGATCTGGTTTTAAAGTACCCATACGGATGACTCCGTGAGCACGTATCTTCAATGCATCGCTCTCTATCCTGCATGTCAACCCCTCAGTCAGTGAATGTGTATTTTTTTGAATGTTTTGTGTATTTTTTCACGTGTTTCCTGCCCTTCGTGTTCTAAAAGTATTGCTCTCCAGGGTTTGTTGGTGCTTGCCCGTCTCACACGGCCGGTACTCATTCAGTAAAAGCTGAAGCGAATGGAGGATCAGGCAAAGGTGGGTCCCGTCTGGTTCCACACTAGGAGCGGTAGTCCTTTTTACTGTAGGGCTTGTTGCCCAGGATACTGTCCACCTCGTGCACGATGGAGGAGGATAACTTTGGAAGAACCTGCGAAAAGAGTTTCAAACTGAGTGTGGATTCTCTCTATATATATAGCTCTCAATAAAAAGTGTATCTTACAAAGTGGTTCTCTTATGTAAATGTACATGTAAATATTTGCACACCTTTCTTATTCATTTTTTAAATAATTTTGAGATTTAAAAAAATGAGCTAATTAAATATTTTAATTAATATTCACTAAATAATATCCTCCTAATATCTGAATATTTATAATATTTGCTCACAAAAAAAAAAAAAAAAAAGCAGCAACAACCAACAATTGACCCTTTTGCTAAGCTCCGCCCACCTGCTCAGACGAGCTTTACAGAACGTCCCGTAGGAATGGAGATTTCTGTGAACAGCATGATTTGCTGTAAAATGGACTCATAAAGTGATTAAAATCGAACGGATTATTCTGGAAAGCATGCCATTATACTGTTAAACTGCTGTAACAAGATTAAACTGGCAGAGTTTGAATCAGAATCGATGTTTCTCTCAGCCAACCAAACACAGAAAAGACTCATCTGATAGCCATTAACTAAAACATCTCTGCAAGAAATATCAAAATATAGGTACCTTCTGTCAATATTAAATGCTTCGGCAGTGTTTTATGTTGGGCTTGGGATCATTTCTGTACAAATTTTTCTTGCATTCGTTTTCAGTTAAAAAGAACTAAATGTCTAATAATAAAGTGCTGCAGGGATGATGTATATTTCTAGACCAAAACCAAAAAAACTAGTTTCTGCTCTACCGGTTCCAACATCCTAAAGTCAATTAGTTTTTTGAATGGGTTTTTGGTTAAATGCAAACCGAAATACTGAACTACAGGAGAAAAAAATGTTGTCGCTAGCATCCGAAGGCAGAGGTGCTACCTGCAGCTAAAAAACCAGTGATGTTTACACCTATGGCTACACAGAGGTCAGTTCCGCGGATACACTTCAACTTCGATGAAGAGATGTGGACGGAACACTTTGGCATGTGAGAGATACGTTTGAGTATGTGCTGCAGCTTGTGAGAGCCTCTTTAGAACGAAAGACTACTGGCTGGCGAAAACCGCTGGAACCCCGACCTAGAGTGTTGTGCTGGTACACTACCCCAAGTGAATACAGGACCATATCCTGTTTGTTTGGCCTTGGAATATCAACAGTCTGCATGCTTGTTCATCAGGTAACATACGGCAGTATAGTTACCCTTACGACAATTAAAGGGGTCCTATTATGCTCTTTTACAATGTCTTGATTTTGTTTTGGGGGTATACTAGAACATGCTCTCATGCTTGGTGGTTCGAAAAACGCATTATTTTTTACATAATTTACATTATTACAATACCTTTCTCCGGCATATATATGCAAACTCATTCTCTGCCAGCAGGAGGTGCTGTTGGGGTGGTAGAGATCAAGGTTTCCCCGGTAAAGCCGCGGTCACACTACACTTTGAGCATGCGAAATTCGTTCGCACGCTGCAACGGTCGTGATATGACATCATGCTCTGCAGCGTCTTTTTAAAAACTTAAATTCAACACAAACAATAATAATAATACATTGTAAAAACATACAATCTACTCCACTTTCCTGCAGCGCTGCAGTTTTAGATTTATATTCTTTTAAATAAGATAGGAGGTCATGCTGTGACGTATCGATCTGCCGTTGGTCACACGGTGTCACATGATGCGAATTCGCAGGACAGAGTTCACCAAACTTGAACTTTGGAATGCAGTGAAATGCGAACATTTTTTCGCACAGGCTTATGTTTTTGGTCTGGCGCATTCGCATGCGTATGAATGGAATTCAATGGAACGAAAAGTCTAGTGTGACCGAACACACACTAGACACAGACCGTGACACAGCGTTGCGTGTAGTTAGGACACGGTGTTATAATGATAAAGCAAAATTAAATTTCCTGTAAAATATAGAATATTATGCACAAAATAAAATAAGCAAAAATTAAAAAAAATATATTTATTGTCATAATATAAAACCGGAGATTACGCTATGCCTACGTCCTAAATCATCCACTTGAAAGCCACTCTCTCGTGAACGCGCGAACACTTAGTAACAGGTAACACTTTATTTTAAAGGAGTCATATGATGCGATGAAAATTTTTCCTTTCTCTTTGGAGTGTTACAAGCTCTTGGTGCATAAAGAAGATCTGTAAAGTTGCAAAGACTAAAGTCTCAAATCCAAAGAGATATTCTTTATAACAGTTAAGAGTCAGCCACACCTACCTAAAACGGCTCGTTCTAACACGCCCCCACATATCTACCTCACTATGTGGTGGAACGCAGCGAAATGCGTTTCCAGTCTGACGCATTCGCATGCATATGAATGGAAGTCAATGGAACAAAAAGTGTAGTGTGACCGCGGCTTAACGGCTGTACACAAAGCAGCGCTCCGCTAAAAAAACCACTGCTTTATCAGACATTACATGCAAGATTAAATGAAAATGACATCCAATCTTTTGAAGACAGTCGGTTTCCTTCAGAAATACAGTGATATATGCTTTGTAATATCACAAAACCCGGAAAACAAACGCTGTAGTCCAAACGAGCCGTTCGTTGTAGTTCTTGAAAAGGGATTTAAAAAAAACGAAATATCTCCCTTTGGAGTGGACTTTGAGATTTGTAAGTTTGAAGATATTTTTTATGCCCAAACATACACACTACACACTGACTAAAATTCAAAAAGTGAAAAAGCATAATAGGACCCCTTTAAACCAAAAAAAAAACAATTTATTGCATTTTTTAATTACGTTTTTTTTTTGTTAAACTATCGTAAACCCCACATTAGCCATGGGTTTTTGCTTCATTTTGCATTGTACCTGTAGTAGAACTGTAGTTATACAAATGTAATTAATATGCAAAAAATCAAATCAAATGGTTAATTTTCATAAGGGTAGTTTGGCCGAGATGGCACCTGCTGACTGCCATTATATGACTCACAGAGGATGATGGTTTCAGCTAAGTTTTTTTTTTTTTTTACTGTTCTACTGAAGAAGAAAAAAGTCACCTACATCTGGGATGGCCTGAGGGTGAGTAAATGAACAGCAAATTATCATTTCTGGATGAACTATTCCTTTAACGTTAGACATTCGGCTTCATACCCACAAAACTCTCTAAGCATTTCATGTTTTGAGCCCAAAGCAACTCAGATATACACTGCCGGTCAAACGTTTGGGATCAGTAAGACTTGTAATGTTTTTTTAAAGAAGACTCTTACGCTCATCAAGGCTGCATTTATTTGATAAAAAATACAGAAAAAAAACAGTAATCTTGCAAAATGTTATTACAATATAAAATAATCGTTTCTATTTTAATATCCTTTAAAATATAATTTATTTCTATGATGCAAAGCTGAATTTCCTGTATTTTTGATCAAATAAATGCAGCCTTGATGAGCAGAAGAAACTCCTGTAAAAAACATTAAAAATCATTCTGATCCCAAACTTTTGACCGGTAGTGTACATAAACAAATGCCCTTTGCTATGGTTTTGGAATGAGCAATTAATGTTTTATAATCATTTTATAACTTTAAATGTATGCAATACTCTAATCCATGAAACTAACGAATGTCTTACAAATGTCAAATAAGTTAGTTCAACTAACTTCGCCATAGGTAACATATGCTCTGAAGACGACCCTTTGCTAGTGCTTTATATGCCTGCCTCAAGGCCAGCGTCTCCAAAGAACCATTGATGTCTTTGTTGCATGTGACTATAAGACGTGTGCAGGTGCCATCGAGGCTGCCACATACCCATCATAAAGCCTCATGAGGACCAGGCTGCCTACTGTAACCGTAAAGGTTGGCACTCTATAGTGTTGCAGGCCATTGTGGATCACAACTTTAGGTAAGTAGATGTAAGAAAAACCACAAAGGCCTTAATGTACAGAGCTTAACACATTTATTAGACCAGCACCCAATGTACGTTTTGTGCCACAGCTGCCCTAAACTAACAGTATTGGTGATTACCAAAATCCTTTTTTATGTTTCTGTAATGGTTAATCCACACCAGTATGTGCAAGCTCTTTAGTCACAGTAGTGTTTCTGATGCTAAAATATAATTATTGTTGTTATCCATGAATTTTCAAATTTACCGTTTTACAAGAAAGGCAGAAAATAGTAAAGCACTTTATTTTATTTTTTTTATTCAGATGCCCAATTACAGTTATTGACTTGTAGTCCTTAATTTAAAAAAATAAGTTTTAATGGTTGAATGTGCCGGCTCAAATTTGGGTATAAAAACACAAATTCATAAAGTTTATTTAGTTGTTTCAGTTTGTTATTTGCCTAATAAATGACGATACAATTTTTAGTTTTAAACAAGTTTTTGACAGATTCCTAAAATATTTTTGTTTTCTTATAAATTTGTTAAGCACTGTGTGTTTCAGCCTAATTAGGCCTTCTACTAGATGAAATGTTGATATTGCTTAAACTCGTTCTAGTTATGTGCTACATAAGCTATATGTTTACAGTGTTATATTTATCTAACTTTAATCATTAAGTGTATGTATATGCATGGAAATTTGTGATTTATGCACTGTGCATGTGATTGAAATTCAGGGTAGAAATTCAACTGAATTTGCATTAAATCTGGTTGTTTAATATGAAACTGGTATACATAAACAGTATGTTTTTTTTTCTCCCAACTACACTTAAGTTCCCTGTTAAAGGCTAACCTGCAATTTTGCAAATTTCCAGTTTATTCCCATGGAAAGTTTCCAACTTTGAAAATTCCCAGAATTTTGCAACACTAAACAATCGTAAACTTTTGTTGGTCACAGAGCCCATTTTCTGCAATGATCCAAAAGCCACTGCAGCACTCTATATGGCAGCAACACTAGGATTGGTCAATAATGGTTTCAAGGCGGAGCTTAGCATTTGATTGACACGTGCCACACACTCATTTGCACTCTCACCTGTATTGCTCCTATATTCTCCATGAGCTGGTCCGTGCTGGAGGCTCCGAGGAGCACAGAGCTCACACCTTCATTTCTCAGGCACCACGCTGGAGACGAGCAGCAAATATGTTGAACATACAGCATAAATAATATCATACACAACATATGACACACCCTTAAAGCAAATCCTACCATCATGAAAAGATAAATGTTATATTTAAAAGCAAAACATGTATATACAAATTAAGCCATTTCCAAAATTAAAACAGCTATTTTTTCCCACTCCTACACACACTGAAGCATCTCACACAACACACAGCAGCTGCCAGACCACTCTGTTACCATGGCTCCCAGCACCGGGACACAATGAGCGTGCTCAAAATCTGAGCCTTTTTTTTCTTTGCAGGAAGATGAGCGATATCTGCAGGAGCGCAGAGGAGGTGAAGAGGAGCCATGCTGACCGCTGCCGTTCCCTAAACACGGCCCATGCAACACCGCTGCCACACACAGACAGGAAGGAAACTCTGTGGGGATTTGAATCCCTCCTGGGAGTTTGTTTGCGTGTGTGTGTGCCATCTGTGGCACTGTGTGTTGGCACAGCAGTGTGTTTACTGTACTGCTCTGTGTGTGTGCCTGTAATACAGCAGCCATTTGGAAGAGTGTTTGTGTTTTTCAAGGCTACACTGTGTCAAACGCTGCAAATGATATGAAACATTCAGCTCTGATGTTCTGAGTAAATCTACAGTGGATTTTAATGGATTTGAGTACTTTAGCCCTAACAGATTGCTTTGTCTGAACAAACTCACACACACACACAATGAAAATGCATATGGAATACAATCATGCCGACACTGTATTAAATAGTGTTGGGGAGTAACTAACTAAAACATAGTGATTTTACTATTTTCCAAATTTTTCTTTCTACTTTTCTAGTATTTTTTTTGTGGTATACCCTGACAAAACACTACATTAGAAGTTTTATGTCACAATGTATTGCACAAAAGTGAATTGAGGCAAAAATTTATTTGAGTGAATTGATTCGTTCAGATGGTTCATTTCAATCAGGGTTATTAAACAAGGGTTTTTACTAAAACGAAAACCATAAAAAACATTTTATTTCAACACTTCTCATTTTTATTTAGTTTACCTTGACGTACTAAAATAGCAAAAACTGAAATAAAATGAATAAAACCTGTATATATATATATATATATATATATATAAAAAAAAAAAGTACGCGCTCTCTCTCTCTCTCCCTCCCTACCAAGTAACTTGTGCAATGTTTTACTTACTTGTTTTTGACATATCCGACCGAACTACAAACTTTCCAGTGATGTCTGTGAGAAAGTATATTCACTCGACAAACTCGCGCATCTGCGCCGCCGCGTGCTCAATCCACTCAGCGTGCTTTGCTTATCAGCTCGCGCACATCAGCTATACAGGTGTTAATACTGAATGTTTAGCATATTAATTGCATACATATACTTCGTAGACATCCTTAACTCCTTTCTGCTGTCTGTTGTCGGTGTTTCTTTGTCTGAATACGGCACTTATCACATGCTGTGTGGTATCGGCGTTTGGTATCAGGGCATTTTAACGAGTACGAGTACAGGAGCTCAGTATCGGGCCCGATACCGATACCAGTATCGGTGCATCCCTAGCTATCATCTTATTTTTTATAAGGTAGTTCAGCTACTTTAGCTTGCTAGTTGTAAATGAGTCTAAAAGCAGCCTCCTAACACTCTCTGATGTCAGCCCTCAAAATCATCTGCCCATTTACATCCGTGTGCAGTTCATTAACCCTCACAGCAGATCTGACCCGCAGCACTTTTTTTAAACGCACAGGCGGTGGTGTAAATGAGCAGAGGTGGCTGTACACTGGCTGTGAATTGATTGGCCGCGCTCGGCAACCCAGTAATGAGGTGTGAAATGTAATGTACGACTGCATTACAGGACAGGTGATTCTATCGGCCGCCGCTTTGGGGATTGAGGTCCTGTCAAGATTTTTATTCCCCAGCGTCCCGCAGTCGACGAATCACAGAGGGTGTGCTGTCACGTACACACTGACAATTTATGACTTTTGTGAGGTCAGGAAGATGAGGGACTTCCTGAAACTTTATGTGTCTGAGTTATGAAGGGTGGGCGGTATGACAGCAGTATAGACTGTATGACGATAGTAATGTGTTTGCTGTACCATTTATACCGCAGTGGAAATATTTGTGCAACTATGATTGAGCAGGACTGCTTCACATAATAATTCACAAGTGAGAGTGATGAAGAAACATAGTCATGCGAAAATACAGAGTGGAACGTGACCAAAACAAGTCAAGACGAAGAAGAATGAGCTTTGAAAGGATGAGTGTAATAAGTTTTACTGTTTTGTTTACTTCATAATGTAAAGCAGTTTTTTCACTAATGCCAGACTTTTTTATTATTATTACTATGTTATAAATATTTATTTTGATAAAATAACTAATAAAAACATTAAAGAAAAAATAAAATGATGACTTTTTGGGATTACTTGTTATATATATTTATTTTGATAAAATAACTACTTATACAAATAAAATAAATAGTTACTTTTTGAATTATTTGTTATAAATGATTTTGATAAAATAATAAAAAATAAAAAACAAATAAATAATGAAATTTATAAAAAACAAAAATCACTTTTCCGCATTATTCATTCTGTATATTTATTTTGATAAAATAATTACAAATAAAAAATTAAATAATTTGAATAACAAAAATAAAATAATTAATTAAAGAATTACTTTTGTAATTATTACAAAATAATTATTTGTTATAAATAATTTTTGATAAAATTATGGCTAATAAAAAAAAAGAGATTAAATAAAATAAGCAAACACTTAAGTATTTAAATCACTGAATTGACTGGATTGTCCCAAAATATTTTTTACCACATAGTTATATGATATATAAATTATGTTTTTGTTCAATTTTCAACAATAATAAATCATATATTGTGTTACATACTGTTACAGTGATATAAAGTTGCTCTGTGACAAGATTTTGGTCTTAACGCCCACCCCTAGTATTAGCGCGCACACACACACACACACACACACACACACACACACACACACTTAGAGGCTGAATCTGATGGTTTTGCCTTAAACTGGACTATTACGATGTGCAGCAGACCGTGATCACGAGCTCTCAGCTCTCAAGATTAGATTACTGTACTTTGAGAGAATGTACTTAAATCAAAGCGTCGCAGTCCTTATAAAAGCCTTCGTTCTAGATTGTACAGCACATATTTATTTGAAACGTTACACTCCATTCTCTCTGTAAAGCATTACACAACACTTCCCATCTCAGATACCATGCTGAACATCATAAAACACTATACGAAATCGATTTTCCACTATTATATTTATCACTACACTTAAGCAAGTATATGACGCTGGGAGGAACACTCTTCCATTAACAGCCACAAACTAATCGCATTTGTTCGTGAAGCCATCGGCAGACGGACAGACGCTTCCGCTCCGGTTGTCTGAGGAAGGGGAGGATGAGAGGGGGGGAGGATGAGCGAGGCACAGGACGGACGGACAGACAGACAGAAAGAGAGAGAGCGGCAGTGTGTCTTTGGGTTAGGCGTACCGATGGCTAGCTGTGGCAGCGTGCAGCCCAGCCGCTCAGCGATTGCCTGCAGCTCTTTCAGCTTCGCCTGCTGGCGTCGGCCCTCCTCGCTCAAGATCTTGTCCTTCAACCACTGGTAGCCCTGTTAACAACACAGCACACCTGCTCAAAAACAGGGGCCCACGCCTACAGCGGTGCACTTACACACACACACACACACACACACACACACACACACTTGAAACTCATACTCAATAAATAGTCAATGTGGTAAGGCAGTGTTGAAGCATGCATTCGTCACAAAAAACCTATCA